CGTCAAGGAGCTGGGGGAGGACTTGGTGTACATGGTTTCGTTATATTGTGTGTTCTATTTATAATAGAGAGCTACCGTCCAGTAGGTTTTCTATCCTACCCGGCTTCTGATGAGCCACACCTGTTCTCAGGTAAATACCAGGAGCAGCTGTGGCTCATCAGAAGCCAAGTGGGATAGAAAACTGACTGGATAGTAGCTCTCCAGAACCGGAGTTGGAGACCCCTGGTTTAGAGTATGTCAACATTAATGTTTTTCAGTAATAGGATCTTTTGGAATTACATTAGTGAAAAGATGAGTGCACTCTACTAAAAAATCCTAAATTTTGATATTGAATGTTCAAGTTTTGGTCTTGTTTCGGTCTTGATTGAAAGTCTTGATCTTGTCTTGGTTGGGATGGGTCTTGGTTTGGATGAGTCTTGATTTTGAAACAGATGGTCTTGAACACATCACTGGTGCATGCTTGTACAAGGCACTGTACAGGATTTTCACACTCTTTTCTCTGAGACACTCTCAGAGAAAACAGATTCCCACAGATGCACAGACAAAAGAAATGCATTCTTTCACATTCAAAGACATACCCTATGGTACTGAACCCCCAATTTTTCATTTATGCAATAAGCAGAATCTTTTTCTGTGCTTCAACAGATTCTATTTTGTGATTGTACTTGAAAGAGATTAGTCACTGCATAACAGAAGGTCTGGTTTTAGTGATGTGATTACTGGTGGTCTAGGTATTATGTGATGGAACTGAGAGAGAAGAGAAGCTTCCCAAAAGTAGGGCAAAGTTAGGAGCTTAAAACCCTGCTTATTACATTCTTTATAGACTCATTGATTTCAGGGACAAATATGCCAGCAGTATGTTTGTTTCATCAAGCAACAGCCCTCTCAGGCACGTGAGGATGGAACTATGTGTCTATTTTATAGGTGATTAATACCCTTAAAGTAGCACAACGTCTGCTGAAAGCACTGGGGCCCATCGGAGCAGGTAAACGGCTGGGAATCACAATCTGCAAGCCCAGCTTCATCACCAAGAAGAAGGTGACCTTCCTGTGGAAGCATTGCCAGCGGCCAGGAAGCTTGGAGCTCACCTGAGAGAGCATAGTCACCTCAGGTAAGAGATGTGTCACCTGGGGATCTCATCCAGGTGGAAACTGGTGTTTAATGGAAGGCAGATATGACCCCAGGGCTAGAGAGAGCCTCTGGGTACATGGGCAGCTCAGTGATCCATTTCCATGTACAGTCCAGTCTATTTATCAGAACCATTCACCTTCTGTCTGTAACCATTAATATTGTTAATTGGGGATGTTGCTCAAATTCTGCATTTATGACTTAGTGATGGTTTCAGAGGATTTGGCTGTGCTATAATGGCCCATGTACCCATCAGATACACAATTGCCCTAAACAAAAAATATCAAACTATTTTTACACACTTGGTAATTAATGTGATTTAAATTATAATTAATCAATGCATTTGAAATATATTCCTTTTGGAATCCATGCCATGTGAATTAAGTGGAAAACATTTGTACTCTCCATAACCATTAACGATCATTATAAGACATTACAAATATGTTGTTGTCAGGTACGTAAAATAATCAGAAGTTGCAGTGTAACAAAAATTATACTGGGCAATTCGGTGAAATCATGCCCCGGGTGTCACTTAGCCCCTGTCTAACCAGTGGCAAAGATAAAACGACAGCCACAGGCACAGATGTGGTGAACCTGACCTGATCACTGAGACACAAAGTTGGGCTTTTTGAATATCTTATATCATCTTGTCTGATCTTCAAGGTGTATTTCATTCAGTTATTTGGACATGCAGAAGACCTGTGAGCAGACCCAAGTGAAAGTCTACTTTTTTGGTCTCACCAGAATAAAAACACAGCTTTCTGTGGAAAAACAAGGGCATGGTAAAGTCTCTGTGTCATGTTAAAATGACATTTACATTGGCTTATTCAGCAGCTGCTTTTGTCCAAAGCGACATACAAGTGCAGTTGGTGGGATATCAGGAATTTCAGCTGAACATCACTGACTTCTTACAGAAAGACCCCACCCTGGGTCAGTGCCACACCTGCCAGCTGTGATGCAGTGACTTCATTTGGTCTCGGGCGTCTACTGGTCTCTGAGCTTCTTCTTGTGCTTTATGGAACAACTATTCATGTTCATAGTGCCAAGTAATAACTGATAAATGAGACACTGCATCTTCACCTCAAGAAATGGTGCCCCCCCCTCCCTAGAATGAAAGGCTAGGAAAGAAGCGCTGTGAGTAGGATTCGAACCTACGCAGGGAAACCCCATTGGATTTCAAGTCCAACGCCTTAACTACTCGGCCATCACAGCCTCTCCTAGGGGCTGATTTGAGCACCACTGTTCTCAGCCTGATATATAGGCCTACTGATAGCTATCTAATAGCATTTTAAGCCAGTTAAGTAAAATAATATTTTTCTGTGGGCATGACATAATCTTTTTTTTTCTTCATTTTTTCTTGTTCAATTAATAGCCACCAGATCATTTTTTCTCTAAATGGGGAAAGATAAGAAATATATGTCATATGCAAATAAAGAGGAGACAGTTCAAGGAACATATTTAACCTTTATTTTCAGAGCCTGCAGTTCTACAACATGTTAATCCACTGCTAATATTCTTCCAGGCTGTGTTTTTATACATTGTATTTTACAGTATCTTACCTTTAATATTTTTGCATTTTAATTTCACTTGAATTGAGGTATACATATGAAAATATGTGTAAACCAATGAGGCATGTTAAATGGGGTAACTGGGAGGGCTTTGTGCCAGCACCCAATGTGCTACCCACTGCATGTCTGTCATCTCACACATGATCACCAGTGGTCTGCTCATTTGTGCATAAGTGTAACAACAGATTAAAGCACTTCTTCTGGCCTGTTCTGTAATGCTATGTAGTTGATCTTTGTTGCGCAGTCACTCATGTCAGTATACAGGATAAATCAGGTGATAACTCCCGCTCCCCTACGCTCTAGCCTTGGTGCTGGTCAACCTCCTCAGTGTGCCTTAGTAGATTGTGCTGGATCTCTTCCGAAAACCAAAGCAGGTGATCAGTTTCTACTCACAATCATGTGCTGCTACCAGGTCTCCTGAAGCTGTGTCACTGAAGCATATAACTACTGCAAAGATAACAGCTGCCGAACTTAAATTATCACCACATTCGCACTGGTAAGTCCCCCTGACTGCCCATGCAGCCGAACTGTCTCCCTTAGTAACACTTGACTCTTTTTTGCAATACAACGTTATACCTTCTGCTCTCCGGGATGCATCTTCCTTTATGGAAGGCTTAGCTCAGTGTCATGCATTCTGTGGTTCACTTAGTGTAGAGAAACTTGGAAAACGTTTTATTATTTTCTGTTCTTTAATGCTGCCTTCCTTAGTGGACGGACTACCCATCATGGACGGCTGGAAGACTTTATAACATTGTATGTATTGTATATGTGTATATTTATGTATATATTTAACTGTATAGCTCTTAAGCCATTAAAAGAACAGAATCTACTCCGGTTGTGTTTTGCGTTACTCTGCTCAGGTTCCCTGTGACCCACGACACGTTTATGTCACCTGACCTAGTCCAGGGGCCTGTACTACAAAGCGGGGTTACTGGCTTATCGGGGTAACTTGTCGGATTTAAGGTAGTCTGGGCAAACTGTAAGTGAACGAATATGAAGTCCGTTTAAACTGTGGTATCTTAAATCCGACAAGTTGCCCCGATCAGCCAGTAACCCCACTTCGTAGTACTGGCCACTTGGGTCATAACAGGGACAAAGTGTTTTTATGCGTTTTATTTATTATTGTGCAAACATAAAAAAAAAACTCATGTTATGACAATTTATCAAAGTACTGCTGCATCAGGAGATGTGATGGCTTCTGTGTATGCACTTTGTATGCCGTCTCTCTCTCTCTCTCTCTCTCTCTCTCTCTCTCTCTCTCCCCCCCCAGGGCCAGTAGGGGGGGTACTAGAAGATATAAGGAAGAGGAAGTGAAGATATCGAGAGGCGGACAGGTCTCTGTTTGACCTGTGTTTGTGGTGCATGGCCTCAGTGTGTTTGGCCATACTGTTGCCGCTGGCACTTCTGCTTGGTTTGTCTTTATTGTATTAAGCTCTCAGATAGGAGAACTTTGTCACACTTAGCACACAGCTATATGTTCCAGGGATAGACCCTGTAGGAAAAGGGGGCCTTTGTTTTCAGGGGGGGGATTTTTGTGCCTGTGTTTTGGTTAGTTAGGGAGGTAGTAGTAGGTTTGTGTCTTTTCTTTCCATGTTTGTTTTGAAAATAGGTTGGTTAGTGGCTTATTTTGTCTCAGTTAGCATTTGGGGTTCTGTTTACTGTTTTGGCCACATCCCTTTTCTGATGTCAATGGGTCAAATAAATAATCAGACACTTTAAGCTGCGTCTTGAGGTCATCTTTTGGGTCTGGATGTCATGTATTAAGGTTTATGTGCGGCCCTTTTGAGCCAAGGTTCTAACATAAAACAAGAATCACTTTATTTTAACTATATCAAATAGCCTTTGTTGTACAAGCACCATCACTGGAAATGTGGACTAGCAATGTGACTTAGCAACAGTGATAATGGATGTGCAACCATCAGTGTTTTCCTAATTATTTTATATATATTTAACCTAGAAGTACATTTCTAATGAGCAAGATTAAGAGAGCAAAACAGGCAATTTATCAAGATTATGAATAGTAACTGGAATGTTTTAATGAATTTTGACAGTAGTCTCATAGCAAACGTGTGACATAAGACATTAAAAGTGAAATACTGTTTATGTCACTTCATCATAACATTTTACTATGTCATCAGGTTATGACAGTAAGTTGTCCTAACCTGCTGTGACATGTTTATAATAATGAAAGCATCATAAAAGGAGCCTTCAAGTGGCTTAACAACTGTACCAGATCTCTTTTAAACAACAATCAACAGTAACACCAATGGCCAATGATACTTCTCCAAAAGCAAGAGAACATTTCAGAACAGAGAAAAAGTATAAAACAAAATTCACAGTGTTTACCAGGTTATAATATTCAAGTTTAAGGTCAAAAGAAAAGACTTGCATTATTCTACTTCCAAAATGGAAAATAAAAACAATTCTAGCAAGTAATTCTATTTGTGTAATGCTATATGAAGACTATGCAGAATATTATCCTTTTATACAACTCTTAAAAGGAATCTATTACATGTAATATAAGAATATTACCAAATTCAATGTCCATCAGTCCATACATTCATGACTTTTCTAGACCAATCATCTAGTTGGTTAAGGAGGATGCATGCAGACCAACCAACCCCATAGCAACTATGTTACTCTTGGTGATTTCCAAAGTGAGGCCAGGCCAGTCAGGCATTTTATCCTCCCTGTATGCATTTAAATAGCTGTTCGCCTTGTATGTAGAACAGAATGTAAAGAGAGAAGTCGATTGAAGAAAGCAATGTTATCAACCTTCAATGAGATTATAACGCCACATTTTCAGCAGAAGACAAAAGATACATGAGAACCTTTATAAGGAACATTAAAGGGTTAAATGAAAAGATGGGGCTAAACATGAAGGGAATAGAGGTTACGACCATGGAAACTGCAGTCAGGTGTAGTGTTACTGGTGAAGGCCTACAGCTCATGACGACTATTGACTCTTTGAATCAAACCTCAACAATGATGATGAAGAGCCTAGAGTAAAGTCTTCAAAAGTACTGAAGTATCTCTAAGAACAAAGATTAGAAATATTCAGAATATACTATTTCCTATGGATGTGAAAGCTGGACAATGAAGAAGCAAGGCAGCCTTTGAATTGTGGTTTGGGTGAAGACTTCTAAGAAAAAGCTTTGCACCACAAGGAAAACAAACAGGATTCTTCATAAAATTAAGCCCAGACTTTCACTTGAGAAGACCCAGTGCATTGGAAAAGATCATATTACTTGCAATAGTTGAAAACAGAAGAAGAAAAGGACATCCAAGAAGAAGATGAATGAACTCAAAAATCTGAAGGCCTAGAGGAAACCAGGTTCTGAAGCAATGCAGTCTAAGAGTCTCCATCCACATCAGTTCAATGGTGTCTAATAATAATAATGGCTTTCGATCTCTGTTGAGTCAGATATTCCTAAGAAAAACTTCCAAAACAAGCCATTTTTGTACTGAATTCTGTTTTGAAGTTTAAAATCTAATGAATAGTAAAGCTGGTTTTATAAAATGTAGTTGACATCTCAAAGCAACAACTTGCTACATGTACTTGAACTTTCATTCTGATAATCACGGTAAAACCGTCAAATGCTCTCACATGTTGTCAAACTGTCTTCACTCCATGAAAATACATTTTACTGAGACTGGGCGGAAGAATAGAAAAGGTCAACATTAGCTTTAAAACACATTTCATTACATTGAAATGGCATTTCCATGCTTAACCTAGATTAAGAAAGCAAAGTAACATAACCACAATTGAACATCAATTATTAAAGGCTAATTTCAAATTCAACCTTTGGGTAAAATAAATTATTTTAAGCACTTCGAGACCGAGTGCTTTTTCCATTAAAAATATTGTGCTACTGCATTCTAAGATTTGCTACCCTAACCTAATTTGAAATGAACATTAATTGACACTCAATCCTAATTGTTAAATTACATCTATGTGAAGCAGTTTAACAAGGAAGAGCAAAAGCTAAATCACATGGAAAATCAGACGGAGATGGTTGATTCAGCTTTTTGAATAAAGTTAAACCCCAATACTATGACAGACCTTAGTATCCCAAAACATAGAGAATCTTGGCATTGAAATAAAAAATATAAACAATCATCAATGGCCGTTTATACAAAAAGCATAAATTAAAAGCATATTAAAGCATACATGTTTGGCAGTATATCAATACATTCTGACATAAATACCATGTAACAATAAGTAGCATTCTTTATATATTACACATCCTGGTATCCAACAAGGACATCAACAATGTCTTCTTTACTGTTTATCACTGTGTTTATGCCCTCAAGGCCAAAATTGTAAAACTATAACTCTAAATCTAAGCTATATTTGCCCATATGAGCATCACGGATCATCAAAGATCTGTTTGTTTCTTCTTCCATTGACCCACGTCCTTCTTATTCACATTTTAGACAAAAAAAATCAACAAACAAGAGAAATTGGGATGCATTTTTTTTCTGAGAAAGTTTTAAAAGGGTTGATGGAATCATCAACATTAAAATAACAGTTTTGCACTGGATCAATGCTGGATTTATACACAAGAAGCTCTTTTAGACCTTTGTGTGAAGATCTTGCATTAAACATCTTAAAGATAAAAGGTGTCAATGTCTTGAAATGTACACTTGGCCCTGACACCTCTGGTGCTTCCAAACGAAAGGTAACCACTGAAAAAGAGCTTTTAAGACACATAAACTAAGTAACGGAAATGTCATTTAAAGGTCAGAGATCATTCCTGTGTGCTGCATTTTGGTTGTTTCTCATCATCAGACAGTCACTGGAGCCTTCAAAGCAGACTTCTATGACATTAAGCAAAGACAAACACAAATGAAATCAACCTATAACACCTCCAAAACACTTTCTGCTACACAAGCTGGAATCCCAAGAGTCTGGAAAAAAAAGGAATATTTCCTGAAATGTTCATTCCTCTTAACTCCACTAGTGGACCTCAGCCTGTACAGCAGTGGTCAAGCCCAAGTATTCAAAGTTCTCTGTAGCTGGCAGGTAGTGTCCATTAAGTTGAGACTTATCCATGGGGGAGAAGTTCTGTTGATAGTCTGGGTTGTCCAGGCTAGTCTGATAGTCACCGAGACGAGGCCGGGTGAAGGTGGCCCGGGGGAGGGTGGGTTGTGCTGTGTTCAGGTACTCGGGTCCCTCAGATATGCTTTTGAAGGATTTAAGGTACTCAACTTCTGTCTCCTCAACATCGCCCCCAACAGGAGAGGACAGACTGAGGCAGGGAGGCCCGGGATCTTGGTAGTTTGGATTCATAACGTCTGACAAAGCGGTTTCACTCTGGTTCACATATTCTAGAAAACAGGAAAGAAACACTCAGGGTGTGTATTAATGGACGGATGGATGAACTGATAGCGATGACCTGTTTTATTATTTAATGGTAGTATTGTCTCAAAGCACAATACTGTAGGTTTTACTCACTATTACTCACTAATTAGTTACATCAAACATGAAATCAATTCAGAAAGCAGATCCTTTGAGTTAGCTACAAGGAGATTTAAAGTTGGAAGAATTTACCTGGAATAGATTGCAGGTCCTTCTCAAAGGAGCCATCCGTTGGGTCAGTGATGTAACGGAGGATGAAATTGGGATATCCATTCTACGAAAAAAAACAATAACAATACAAAATAAACTATCAAGTAAGCAATGTTTATTTGCTCAAGTTTGCCTACATATGAGATTAATATGAAATCTCAACAATCTAAACTAAGACAATTGTCACACATCTCTAGCAGAGGGCTTTGATGGCTCTAAAAAATCAGGTCTCGAAATCTCACCTATTGACATATATCCATTTATCAGTCTCAAACTAATTACTTCCCATTGACTGGTACACAAAATTTCAAACCTGTACTAATGCCGTTTTATCTGTTAATTTCTTTTTTTTTTTTTTTTTAATATTTTGGATAAATTCTTCAGATAATAAAAATCCATTGGATTTCCCCCAAAGACCCTGCACCTACAGCTTTGAAGAGTAACACTTTGTGTCGGTTACCATGGAGTTCAGAAGATGTGGCTGGGTGTGGGGAGTGTTGGGCCCATTGAAGAAACCGCGGTATGGGACAAGGTACTCGTCTGCGTCCACCACGTCCTCCATGTCCTCACTGCTGATGAGCGTGCGGTAGAACTTCGTGTCGGTGGGCGTCGGAAGGTTCATGCACTCATCTCCCTGCGGCAAAATCACAGTGCATAAAAAGCCAAAATAGCTTTGAATTAACATGCCAACTGCTTATTTAATGTCAGAGTTGGCGCCACAAAGGGCTCTGGGGGGGGGGGCAGACCCCTGCAATCAATTAAATGTGCCCCAAAAAGCAAATTTTCGGCCAGGACATCAGACTTATACTGGCACCGATATTACTCAATGTGAGAATGACTTTGCCAAATTGAAACCTATTATTATAAGATTATTAAAGAAGATTTACAGTTCCTGTTGCCTATGGATTCATTCACTTAATGGAAAGATAATAAGCACAAGATATACTTTACTGATATGAAAATGACTAAACCTTCTTTGATATCCAGAAATTAAATGAAGTAGTTAATTCTGCACTTGTAATTTTAAATCTGAATACCATGATTAAATTATTATGAGTAATAGTTTAACTTCTAATAAACAACCAAACATGATTGGCTGAGCAGTTATGTGTTCTTTTCCCTCATTTAATAATTACGATGTGCAATGTTTTAACTTGCAGTAAATTATCAAACCTGATTGGTTGTGCTGTTATTTATGTATCCTTTTATCTTATTCAATAATTGCAATGTGTAATAATAAACAAACCTGATTGGTTGAGCTATTATTTGCATGTTCTTTTATCTACATCAATAATTATGATGTTTAATGTTTTAACTTCCAATAAACAAACCTGATTGGTTGTGCTGTTATTTATGTATCCTTTTATCTTATTCAATAATTGCAATGTGTAATAATAAACAAACCTGATTGGTTGAGCTATTATTTGCATGTTCTTTTATCTACATCAATAATTATGATGTTTAATGTTTTAACTTCCAATAAACAAACCTGATTGGTTGAGCTGTTATTTATGTGCTTTTACCTGAATCACGAGGTACCGCTGTGGGTCACGGGCCATCTTAGAGAACTCAGCCACAAGCTCCCGGAAACGAGGCCTGCTCTCCGCGTCAATCATCCAGCCTGGCAGGAGCCCGACCAGAAAATAAGGCAGTAAATCACCATTCACAGGAATGCATCATGGATCATATTGCACAGTAAATCATGCCTTACGGATCCTATTATACAGTACATCAGGTCTCATGGGAATGCATCATGTGTCATGCTACAGAGTCAGTCAGGCCTCAGGGGAAGATTGGGCTTCACTGACTCGACACCTTGCCATTCACCAAAGGAGCCATTTTTATTAGGCATGACAGTTTTAAAGATACATAACATTTATCTGGGTAATCTGAATGTGAGAATGCTTTTGGGGTTAGACAAAGAGACACTCACATAAGGTATTAAATTGCGTCTTCAGAAGTTAAAAAAAAAAAAGGTTTCCCTGTTATTTTCTGTATTAACAAAATCTAATAAACATTAAACTATTCTGATATTATTCCAGAAACTATGGAATTAAGGGAAAAAAGGCAACTTCACAGAGGAGTAAAATTTCCATTTAATTAATGTATGAGCAACAATATGTATAGGATACAAGTCAGTGATTTGTGATTTTATTTTCTTTTTTAAAGTTCCCAAGGGCCATAATTAACCAAGTTTCTGTGAGACATCAAGCACATTCAATGAAACAAAAATTTATGGTAGGAACTTTTGGTAGAAACATATTATATGAGAAATGAAATAATAAGATGCCTGCTACGGTTATTAAAAGAGCATTTCTGAAATCGACGAGCGCAAACATGCTAATTTTACCGTTATATTGATCTGAGTCAGTGACTGAGGCTTAACGTAAAAACACCGGCAGACTCACATTTAACCATGATCATGTAGACGTCGATGGTGCAGATAGGCGGCTGTGGCAGGCGCTCGCCTTTCTCCAGGACCCCTGCGATCTCATTGGCTGGGATGCCGTCGTATGGCTTTGACCCAAAGGTCATCAGCTCCCAAACTGTCACGCCTACCAAGCAGAACCAGAATCAGGCTGAGAGCAATTGTCTCAGGACCTTGGGCTTTGCTGTCTCAGGCCGTCAAAATAATTACAGTATGAGCGAAGAAAACAAGCAGAAACGTAAAGGCTGCCCCAGGGGAGAACCAAACTCCCAGAGCTGTCCTGACAGGAGTATAGCATCGGAACTTGTGAAGATGATTTTATGCAATGATTGTGCAAGAACCAGGAGGGGTTGGGATAGGGGGGCTTTTCATGTAAAGTTCCTACAAAAGGAAAATGCACAGAAGCCCATAAACACATTTTGTTGTCCTTTAAAAATTCAATTGACTGAAGCTGTGAGATTTATGGCACGTTTCAGCATTTACGATTGAGTCCTTCTCAACATTCCGGGGAACACAAAGGCAGGAGCCGCTAAGCTGCATGAGCATGTGCCAACCTCTCAGATGCTGCTTTTTACCAGGAAGCAGCTGATTCATCATATATCACACATACAGGTTAATAAACCCGTCTCAGGGTCTCCCTGGGAGCACTGAAGGTTTACGAGAAGAATAGGTCTCCTGTCTGTCGTTGGACTCTGCCAAATTCATTCATGCTTGATAGACGGTAAGGAACTCTTGGGCTTTGGGAAAGAAAGAGGTTCATTCGGACTGGATGTGTGGGATACCCACATTTTATGGGGAAAAACAGAGGCTGATTACTGCTCTGAGTCTCAGAAGGAAGGGGACCTACAGTGATGTACAGACTTGCTTTGTCACTCTTCAGAACTTTATCTTTTATCTCCAACCTTTATCTGTGGATTAAATATATGCAACTACTGCAACAAAGTAGATAGTCATACACATGGTTTTGGGCACAGGCTGCATATAAACTATCAACTTTAATGTAAAAATTAAGTGGACTGTACATTGTCTCTGGCCGGATAAGTTTGTAATAATTAATAATAATACTGTAATAATTAATTAATACTGGAGCTATATCATAAATCTTGCACCAGCAGTGTTGTGTGACCAAGTCTGGAGAAATGTTTATATATTTGTTCTGGTCATAAAAACTAAACTGCTTTCAGCTGAGTGATTTACTTTCGTGGTGCAGATTTCTCTTGGAAAAGTAGATTTACATCAGCATTAGGTTTTAAGAGCTTGATCAATCACATTACACCTACCAAAATAATGCTCGCATTTTGAAGATGACATTTATACAGGAGACCTATATGGCCTGTATATGCACATATATGCACCTCAATTTTGCCTATATGTGGCATATATACGCATATACTGTATGCAGCATATATATGCATATATACTGCATATAGGTTTCATATATGCGCATATATCCTCATATACAGTAGGTTCTTTCCATGTGGGTTTGCAGTACTTACCATAACTCCACACATCACTCTGATGAGTGTAGGTCCTGTGCAGAATAGACTCCAAAGCCATCCACTTGATTGGCACCTAATGACAGAGGCTCTTAAAATTCATGCTTTTTGACTTTTATTAAATGTCAGTGATCATGTTATTATTAAAGTGATAACATTCTGACCAGCTGTTTTGTTGAATATTTTCTGTAGAAGCAATATACAATATATGGCTCACTTCAATTCATGAAAGACACAAATGAGGAAGAACAACCAGTGTCTGTGATTGGAAGGTCGTTGATTCAAATCCCATAGCCAATGTCACTTTTCGGTCCGTGAGCATGGCCCTTAACCCCAGCTGCTCTAGGGACTGGCTCACCCTGCCTTCTAATCCTGACTTGTAAGTAGCTTCTACAACTGTGTATTACATAAGAGAATCTGGTGCCACAAATAAGTAAAACTTACCTTCCCACCATCGGCGTGGTACTCCTTCTCATCGGCGTTGAGGAGCTTGGCCAGGCCAAAGTCGGTGATCTTGACGTGCTGGGGGGTCTTCACCAAGACATTCCTGGCTGCCAGGTCACGATGGACCAGGTGACGCTCCTCCAGGTAGGACATGCCCTGAGAAGAGGAGAATCAAATACCATCAAGTCCACGGAATGGCGAAACTGGCATTTCATTTCAAAGTATTCTGTAAAATATTATCGCAATTAAGCATACATTACAAAAGTATTGGGTCATCCAGTCTTCCTCTGGCATTAAGCCCAGCACAAAAACTGTGAACGGGGAGCTTCATGGAATGGGCTTGCATGGCTGGGCTATGTTTTAGAGAATTGATCTTTTTTTTTCAAAAAAAAAAATTCTTCCTTTTTCTTTGCATACTTTAGTCTCTATAAAGCCATAAGATTTGTATGTACAGAGAACGCAGAGGAAGGCAGTCTGCTAAACACACTCCGACACAGATCTCCTCACCGCGACGTCCAGATCGCCTCACCTTGGCGATCTGCACACACCAGTTGAGCAAATACTGGGAGCCCACGTTGTCCTTGTTCTCCTTGATGTAATCCAGCAGACAGCCGTAGGGCATCAGCTGTGTGATGAGCTGCACAGTGGAGGTCAGGCAGATGCCCAGCAGGCGACAGACATAGGGGCTGTCCACGCTGGCCATCACGTAGGCCTCCTGGAGCAGGGCATGATGGGAACACAGCTATGTATCAAACATGAGCTAACCTAATAACAACAATGAAAGATGACATCTTCTTCTTGCATTTTAAGCAGGGGCAGGCCCCAGATCCTCCAGCCCTCCAGTATCACTCAAAAGCCCAACAGAGGACTCACATCCAGGATCTCCTTATTGGCTTTGGGGGTTGTGGCCTCTCTCAGCACCTTGATGGCCACTGGTATCTTCACATCCTCTCCTTCTGGAACCCACAATCCCTGGAAGAAGGTTATGACCATAGCTGAAACATTTAATTTACATAATTTTCTACAGTACTATATAACTTTCATTTTTCACATTTTTATATTAAAGTAATTCTCAGCATGAAAAATGTACAAATATATCTGTGCAGTTTTTGATAAAATATATCTGTGCAGTTTTTGATGAATTTCAGTGTATAAAGGAGTTGCAGTTTCAATGTGTTTCTGTTAATAAAATATCATACCATGCAACTTATCATAAGCAGCCTTGTATTTAATTAGTAATAATGTGCTATTACCTTATAAACGGTCCCAAAGGCTCCAGAGCCAAGCACCTTGACCTTCCGGAATTCCGTCTCCTTCAGGATCCGGAGCAGCGCCTGGTTGGGAGCCTCTCCGCTCGGAGTCAGTGGCTCGACTAGCTGTCAGATTAGTACAGAAGCACATCAGCACTTTTGAAGAAACATTTCAACGTGACATTGGGACAGCCACTGAAACCTTGCACAGCTCCCCCTCCATTGAAAGGCCCTGATTGGGCCTCTCCGTGTCGCACTTGTCTCAGCTCGCTCTCTCATTGGACCCTTAACCCATCATCAATGGCCTATGAGGACAGCCATTTAAAGGTCCCATAATTTGCGCCTTACCTCTCTCACTGAGACCTTAACCTATTGTTTCCGACTTGTCCCTGACTTCACCCTCTCTCCGTTAAAAGGCCCTGGGATTGGCCTCTCGCCCCCTCTCTCATTGGACCTTTAACCTCTGGTTTCTGACTTGTTGGCCAATCAGGACAGTCGTTGAAAGGCCCCAGGATCGTCGTCTCACCTCTCGCTCCTGCAGCAGCCGCCGCAGTGTCCTCTTCCTGGCGATGTGTCGCCTCCGCAGCAGCACCAGGACACCCAGGGAGAGGATGACGAAGGCCAGCAGCCCCCCCACCACGCTGGCGGCGATCAGCGGCAGCCGGGAGCCACTGCGTGGCCAGGAGACATGCTCAGGTCACCATTAGATCACCATATACACCAGCTCACACACATGGCACTCACATCATATTTGCCGTGATAATGTCAGGCTCACTGCTATGGTGATTACTGCAAAAGCTACCAAAGACTTTTCCTAAACTACTTTTTTCATATGAAGCTACTTGTACTGCATACTAAACATCATTAAGGGACTTTTAAATTATCTCATACTCAAATACTGGTCATGGTAGATGTCCTGAATATCCAACACATTACATCAATGTCAGAAAAATAGTAGGTTTTATTCCAGGTTAAGTGTGGTGGTATAAGTTCTCAATTATCTCCCAGGTATGTGAACCTGTCTCTGTGGGAGGAACTGCAGGTATGTTCTGGTACTTCTCAATTTACTCCTTGATAAATGCATATGAACATGATAACATGATTTGAAGTATATAATTTATCAAATCAACTGAAAAAACAAAAAGAGACTTTTATATATCAATGAGAGTGTGCTTTTTAAAGTTTTAAGTGAATATATTTCTGGTGGACTAGCATCCTGTCCAAGCTGCACTCCAGCCTTGCATGCTTCCGTTCCTGGGACAGGATGCCCATGACCCTGACCAAAATCAGTGGTAGGAAAGATGGATGGACATTTTCAGTTTGAATGCATGGTTCTGAACCTTCATCCTCACCTTTTGGTGTCACACCCTGCCAAACCTGGACCAGTGCATCTGCAAAACAGTTAAGAAGGACATCAGTGCCGCCTCAGTTGACCCCAAAATGGCTGACATGTTGTGTGTGCGGGACTGAGGCTAACCCTTGCGTGCAGTTCTCATGGCATGACTGGCAGACCTTCATCTTATCAGCATACTTCCAGATGTAAGTGTCCCTCTCCCCCGGCACACCAGAAGGACACTTGGAGACGCAGTGGGAGCCATCTTTGAAATGAGCACACTCTAGGCATTTATCGGGGCCCTGGAGAGAGAGACCATCGCATCAGTAGGAAGAGACACACCTTGTGGAGTGTAATATGTAGGGACAGCAGGAGGTGTAGTGATTAAGATGCTCCCTTTCTCTATAAACTGAATGTGTTTTTCTTCAAGTGAATTTGGTTAAAGAAGCTATATAGCATGAAAATAACTATTATGCTATTTTCTAATAGTGATTATATGAGTTAAGGCTAAGGATATGGCATTGGACGACAGACCATTGCATGTCATACCATTGCATGCACAGACCATTGCATGTCATACCATTGCATGCACAGACCATTGCATGNACAGACCATTGCATGTCATACCATTGCATGCACAGACCATTGCATGTCATACCATTGCATGCACAGACCATTGCATGACATATGCTCCTGAGATTCAGGGGAAAAAGTTTTGCAATTCTGATTTAAAAAAAAAAAAACAAAAATTGTGTGGGAATGGGAGAAAGTATACCGCACATGTGTTATCATCATAAAGCCAGATGATCACATGATCACATTTCCTCCTGCATTAAGAAGGCCCACCAGTGCCTATACTTCCTCAGGAAGCACAGCCGGCTCCCTACTGTTTATTACTGGTTTTATTACTATTATATCACTATTTATTTTGTTTAGTACTGTCTGCATCCTGTACATATCATAACTCATCTTTGGTACTATCTGCATTATGTATATATCATCATTTATTTAGGTTTTATCTACATTCTACACTCCCCTCTTTCTGTCTGGTTTATTGTATTGCTGTTTTTCTTCTTATTTTTACCAATTATCTTTTTGTTAAGCAGTTAGAGAGTAGCAAAATGCATCTTGTTAAACTCCGAAGCATAATGACACTAAACTTAATTCAATTCAATTCAATTCAATTCAATTCAATTTCAATTCCATCCAATTCAATTCAATTCAATTCAATTCAATTTCAATTCCATCCAATTCAATTCAATTCAATTCAACTGCAGTCTTTAAGAAACAACAAAACTTACTATAGTGACATAGAGTATGAGAAATATGAGGAAAACACATAATGTCCTCTGCAGAGGACAAAAATTAACTGTTGCATATCAGATACATGGTGAAGTGCTTGATGCCAGCAATTGGCTGGAACATACCGGGCCGTGGCATGTCTTTGTCCCGTTCTGAAGCTTGCACTCCGCGTCACACTGCAGGCATGTTGTGTTCTCCACATACTCACGTGGCTCCCTGTAAGTCAGACGGTAACCACACTAAAAACTGCTCTTCCAGTATCTATTATGCAGAATAACATACGCCACATTACTGGGCAATACATGGACTTACTTTACTTGCCTGAAACCATTAGAACACATATATTTTATTTATAAACATAACTGGATTTCTTACAGGGCAGGGGCTTAAAAATACAGCTTAGAGTTTATAATTACATTAGACAAACTTTATAAATTGCAGGAAGACATCATTAAGAAATAACTAAATGCAGCTCCTCTAGCAGAGAATGGTTTCAATCCATCGACCTCTGGGTTATGGGCCCAGCACGCTTCCGCTGCGCCACTCTGCTCCATGCGCAACCTTGTGTGAAATTACCCCTAACTGAGACTGCTGTACTCTAATTCAAACAAATGTAAATTTTTCCTAGTGCTCTGTCTCCTTTGGTGTGAGAGATGGGCCTTCAGAGGGTGTCACAATGGACTGATATGTTAGTTAATGCGGAAACCCACTCACAAAGGCTTACAGCCCAGGGAATGACCACAGAAGGAGCAGCCAGATGTCAGACTATATGTGGGATGAAATATTTCAAACCTCATATAGACCTATTTCCTCAATTATTTCAATATTATAATATTATTTTGCTGTGCACAAAGTGTACTTTTATGGATTGGCTGCAGATGGCACTATTGGGGTGATTTTTTTGTGTAACATTCAACAGTTTTAGCCTTTTTTTTAAATGCACTTAAGCTTATACTTCCTGCTGTAGCAAGGGAGGTTTTAAATTTTCCTCTGAAATCACTATAGAGTTAGTATTTTGATGATATGATGCTTCTTGGAAATACAACCTCATGTCATAGACAAATGTGCAGATTCACTATTAGTTCACTGGAATAATCATTAATTTTGTTTTGCTTAAGGTCTGTTTTGTTCTGAGTATTGCAGTTCTCATCTGCAATTCTCATTCATATAGGCATCAAAAATGTAAATTATTCTCTTCTTTGCAGCAGTGAATTGACCTGTGATGTACTGGGCTTGAGTCCAACTGGAGTGTACGCTTAAACAGTGGCAGTATATGGCTGTTTTTGTGACATACCATTGGGAATTCCCACAGGAGAACAGCGAGGCAAGACAACGACGTTGCAAGAACATAAAAATAGCCCGGAAAATTGGGGGATGGGGGTCATTCAGGAGACGCAAAGTACAGCCAAGAGCATCGTGAAGATGCCCCTACTTGCCCAGGTCAGTGAAAGCCCTGCTTACTCTTATGACATCACCAGCATGGTGGCATCCATAATCACTGCTATGCTGCTGTAGCATGAAATTAACCAAGGCTTGGGTTTAGAGGAGACATGAAAGTCATTATTCAGTCACAGTGGAATGGAAAAACTGTGTGCGTGTGTGTGTGTGTGAAGGGAATCCCTTTATCCATCGTTAGATGATAGTCTGTCCTATTATAAGGTTTGAGCCATGCATGGGGATGGTAACATAGGAATTCTAGATACTGTGGCCATTCCCTTCTTGATGACAGACTATGTCTGTGCTGGAGCCATCTGGCCGTCTGTACAAGGCCATTGGCAGTGGCAGAACAATAGACAGTGCAGCCAGTGCAGCTAGTGCATCCAGTGCAACTGCACTGGGCCCCCTGAGAACAGAGGGCCCATGGAGGTTCGATGGGAGGATCAAGGGACGATCAGGGGGCTATTGATCCATTAGTTTAAATGACCAATTAGCAGTGTTATGAACTGCTGAGAACAAAACAACACATAAATCCTTTAACTGTCTTGCTCATCGTCCCATCTTTGTTTTTTCTTTTTTCTATAACGAGGCTATAAAGGTTCATATTTCATAAAGGTACCTGGTACATATGTAACATTCAACTGTTTGCATTCCTGGACAACTGTCCAGAAATGAGAAGGGGCCCTCAAAAAATGTCTCGCATTAAGAAAAAAATCTGATTGGATAGAATACTAACACCTGATAAACTACTAGCATTATAATACATATTATTTGGGAATGATCAATACAGTTGAATTAGAAGTTCTACCCAACTGATCAAGCTAATCAAGATGACTACACTTGTTAAGATGTTACATTGGGCTGTCCATCCATCCATCCATCCCAGAGCATAGGAACTGGGGGGAAAGGGGTGGGGGGCATGTACACGCCCCCCAATACTTAATTTGGCTTCATTCATCCTCCCAATAAACAGACCTTTGCGTGATCCCCACCCCAATATCAAACTCTCTCCTACGCCATTGCATCCATCTTCTAATACCTGATGCTGATTTGACTCACGAGGGGCCTGGAGCCCATCCCAGGCAGCACAGAGCAGACGGCAGGGATTACAGCCTGGATGGAATGCCAGTCCATCACAGGACACATCCACATACACCACTATACTCTACGGGCAATTTAGGGACACAAATTAGCCTGACTGCATGTGTTTGGACTGTGGGAGAAAACCCACACAGCATAGAAAGAACACGTAAACTACACAAACAGTGCAGAGGCAGGATGTGAGCCCCCAGCAGAGAGGAAGGATTTCGATGTGGCGTGAATCCGCTGTCCTTACTGTCTGCGTTAGTAATTATTTTGCCTCCCATATTTCCATTTGTTCCAGACATGAATATATATTTTTTTAGTTTATTGAAGGAGAATTTCTCAACTTCTCTCCTACGTGGATCACAGGAAAAAATTCTGCAAAGGTATAGTGTGAAAAGTGCCTCACTATGTGCTTCAGTGCCACCTTAAAAATACCCACTGCCCCGGGCGACATAAAATTACAATACTTCTCTCTAATCTGAAGTTCTTTCTTTTGTTGTGTTTAAGTCATGATTATAGTAAAATCTTTCAAATGAAAGTCCGTTGCATATATACTGATTTAAATACCGAGTTACTCTCCAAAAGCTGTTCTGTTGAGGAGAGTCAGGTGACTAGGTATATTTGTGTTTATTAGTGACATTAGTCACTCTAGTTCTCAGCTACCTGTTATCTGGTATGATGCGTCAGTCCAGCATAGATCTATTAGCTTTGTGCTCCCAGCTGCTGGATGTGGTATTTACATTTGCCTTGTGATGGCCTGAACTACGCCCTGTCCTCACTAACCCCGAAAAAGGAAATATTGACAAAAAACCTGTTCTCAGCTGACAAGTCACATTGTTTTGTTTGGCATACTTGCTGGGGAAATTCTGATAATTATATAACAATTAATTAATAAATAAAGCAATTTTTCGTCATTGTACTCTTGAAGCATGAATTAACGTGGTATCCCTGTATTAATTGGAGGATTCATCCGCATCAGCAGTTTAAATATTTTTAGTGCTTTCATTAATTACTGTAACTTTCATGAGTTATTTTGTGAATTTACATTGTGTTCTCCATTTTAACGGTATGTTGTTTACAGTAATAACATTGGCTGAACAAATATTGCGTTGTGTTTTCTTTTTTGTTGGATTATGCTTAACCTAACAGGTGCAAACGTGTATATTTTGATTTTAAAGGCCTGTAAACTTTTGCTGGTACTTCATAGATGAACAAATGCAGTGAACAACTGATTTGTCTCTGCACTAGTCCAGGTTATTGGTCAGTTCTGCATCTGTGAAATCATCACTTTGCTGCCCCTTTTGCTCATGGTACTCTTATGCTCGTTTATCGTCTTAAGACGTCTTGCAATGTGTATCCTGAAAATTTGTTATTTCTATTATATTATTTCATTTTGCATATATTGTACTGTGATGAGTTTCTTCTTATTGGATACTTCAACAGGTGGCTACCTTTCGCGGCCAGCTTGCTCTCACCTACAGAGACCAAGTTGGGGGAGGCGCAAAGAGAATTTCCCCAAAGGGATTAAGTTTCTATTATTATTATTTATTACAGTGTTCTGAGTTCTGAGAATCACTCTTACCCTTAGTCACTAGTGCACAGTGTGAAACGATGCCAAGTCTCAAAAGAACAAACTATATTTTACTCCCTCTAAATAACACATGACCAGACAAGAACCCTGCCACTTTTTACTTTATTCACACTGACAGAGCAATGGGGCATGAACGCATTTACAAAAGCACTTCATAAAGCTCGAGTGCTGGCTGCAAGCCCAGTCTGTCAATGCAAGGTGCTGTCGTGTTTACCCGCCTGAAACGCGGCAGCATCTTTGAATCATATCGCATTATATCAGTGTCCCAGCACTAAATACCCCCCCCCCCCACCCGGTTCCTTTTCCCTTGGCCTGTTACTCTCACACAGCATGTTCTTCCCAGCACGCTTGAGCAAATATTGCCAATACTTTTCATGCCTTGTGCATCTCCCAATAAGAAATGAGCACAAACAAACAAACAAAAAACATTTCACAAGAAAGCAGGATAAAATGCCAGCTCATCTCATTTTTGAAGGGAAAGATGTATCATAGTGAACTGGGTTAAAATGAAAATGCAACCAAGTGCATCTTCCCCATACGATCCCTGCTAAATGTATTCTTTTCTTGTGGTGATATAAAAGCTGAGTTAAAAAAAATCCGAATCACTGAGTAATACTTTAGTAGTATTACTTAAGTACTGACTTGCCACCTACCCGAGCAGAAGGTTACAGGCGGCCACACAGCGCCCCCTACGCATGAAGTGCAGGCAGCTGAAGCACATAGTGGGCCCCGGGCCCCAGCATCCCTCCTCTGTGCACATGGTGTCACACGTGTTGTTGTGCAGCTCTGGGAGAAATCACACAGAAATGTCCATTATTCAGGGGCTCTGTAGTATCCGAAATGCATTTTACACTGGGGCGACAGGAATATAGCTACTAATTTCTTGTTATGCTAAGCTACCATTGATTTAGCTGATATCAGCTATCTCGTAATTTCTGTAGCTAGTTTCATAAACAAAATCTGCAAGACAGACTTACTACACACTGTGGACTTTGCATTGCCCTCCACCTTAGACCTCTGCTTGTCTGATCTGAATAGCATCCTCCACTGCTGACCACTGGTGAAGCACAGTTTGGGGTTGTTCCTGATGACCACATCTCCATCACTGATCTCCGTCAGGGCGTGCAGACCCAGGTGGGTGATGGAAATGTTGAGTGCAGCAAAACTGACCGTACCTCTGGAGGAGACAGATGGCAGGAGTAAGAGCTCCTTCAAAGGAGCACTCATGAGCACGAGGATGGTATGAGTACCTACAGCAAACATATATACTATGCACAATGAGGTATTCTATATAGAATGACAGAAAAGTATTTCCTGTATCGGAAATTGTATGAAAATCATACATTATGCATGTTAACATTGTTAAGAAACTGATTATTTGACTGTTACTTGTACTGGGAATTGGGTTGATTCTTTTAAGAATCTGTTGCATTGGTATTTTTTCTGTTTATACAGCCCATAAATTTTAAATTAAAAACAAGTGTGCTGATTTTAGCAAAAGTAAGCTTACAGCTGCTTGGTTCTTCCACGAATTATTTCCAAATTTTCAAATGGACTGAGGGAGGTTAGACGTTCTGGCCAAGACTGAATCAGCAGAAATCCTTTAAAAAAGGAAGAGTAAGCACATTGGGAAGAGGACAAAGCTTATTCCACCGTCTTCTACATCAGATAAAAGGCTTTGATCTTACACATAAATATAAAGCATGAACTCATTAGAAATCGTGTTTGTTTTACCGGAAATTTCTCTCACTGTCTTGAAGATGTTGAGTTTGGAGGGATCCAGTTTCGGTGTTTTGGTGTAGGTGTCACTGAGGAAACATTTTTTCATGTTTAAATGAGATAAATCAAAAGCTAGACTGTATTTTTTATTTTTCAAGTCAAGCCATTTAAAAAAAAAAGAAAATTCTGTCAAGATTTATGTTTTGGTTTTGACAAATATAAAAAAAATCTACTGAAAGGTTTCAATAACCTACCCATTAAATGTGGTTGAAATGATAGAAACATCCCCGTTAATCTTGGTGCAGTTTCTGAAAGAGTCTATATTTGATGCGTTGATTGACAAAACTCCAGTTAGCGGTCCCATTCCCAGGCCGTTGCACACTGGGAACGAAGCATAAAAAATAGAAAATAACTCATAATAAAATGCTTTCTTAGGCATATCACATATGTTAGCTATTCTGTATGGGCTGATTGGTTTTTCATTTTCTAGAATATAATGTGGATATTTTCATACAAAAATTCACATGGGAAAAGAAGATACCATAGAGAATAAGAACCAAGTACAGGTTAAAAGGAGAACTGGAAAGCAGGGCTGGGTCAAGGCTATGATTCATGTCAGACGCAATAGTTTTGAGTCCATTGGTCAATGGAGTCAGACACATCTGGTGGTATTTCTGGGTGTGAAAGTTGAGTGAAAACTTGCTGAGCCTTTTTTATGCATTTTTTTCAAAGTAGTTTCTTTTAATGCCAAACTATTACCCTAACCCCAAACTTATAACACCAAACTCTAACCCTGAAATCCCAAATTCTAACCCTACGCTAAACCCTAACCATAACACTAACCCTACAACGCCAGTCCCTACACCTGACCCAATGTCTACAATGCCAAACAGTAGCCCTGACACCAAATTTCAGCATCCTTGCTTTTTTACTCAAACAAAAAGCTACATTTGTTTATTACAATACGATACTGTAGCGCCGGAGCATGCTGGGAATATTGTAAATAGCCCCTTGTTCGTATAATTATAAATACTTGTTGTATTCCCTATTGTGGCATGTGTCCTTGCCTGTGTCTTCAGTGAACCGTCTCTGATCCTTGCGTGTGTATAGTTATTGTGTAAACTACCCACCATGTGTGTGCCTTACAGTCCAACATCAGACCTTAGGGTGTTTCCCCATTATGTATGGTTTGGGTGGTTGTTTGATGTCTGTGTTATTCGTTTTAAGGAGTGGCAATTAAATAAAGGTGAAAATGAAAGAAAAAAAAAAGAAGGTTAATTATACTTGCCAGCAGACTAGTTATGACATGTGGTCAATTTGCTGGAAAAAAAGAGCCTTTCTGTGGAAACATGTCTACCCATTTAAGCATTTCCAAGGATATATGTGTGTCTGACCCTCCTCCCCCATGTCATTACTGTACATAGTTTTATGCAAAGTACAAAGATATTGCACAGGGAACCAAGTTTAGCTCATTTTCGGCATTTCCTTTCTGCATTCTGTTAGTTGGACGACTCTGGGAATCCAAAAATCTGGATGATTTATGAGAGATGGACCTTTCAGCCTACCTTTGGGACACGGCCCATCGCATTTCTTGCACTTTCGGACCCCATTCTCATCCGCCTCGTACATGTCTGCGCTGCATGTTCGAACGCAGGCCCCGTGATCAGTCACCACGTAGTTATCTGGGTAAAAACAGAGCGACACGTTCTGTGAGGGTCACATGACACCATATGAGCTACGATCCTGCTACATTAACTAAATTTCTAAATTTGCTCCATCCAATTCCCCTTTTATACTTAAAACAATTTCATTTGTGCACAAAATGTATTACCCAATGACCCTGAGCCAGACTGGATGGATGAATGGATGGATGGACAGTATTTATCAGTACCTTATCAATAAGGTCCTGCAAAATCTAGCACAATAACATAAACACATAATTATTTAATAATGTATTATTTATGGGCTCACAAAAATACAATGGTACCATGGAACATGAACTTAATTCGTTCCAGAAAGCTGGTCGAGTTGTGATTTGGTCGAGATCCAAGTCGCATTTCTCTATAAGAAATAATGTAAATGAATTTAATCCGTTCCAGACCCCCAAATGATTGCCTATTTAAACTTATCTACCTAATGAAAAAAAGCATTAACAATCAATATAAAAGTAATACACACATACAAAAGCAATAAACATGAAATAAATGACAATCTCATACTCCGCACAGAGAGCAGACATACGTGCACCACCTTCAAATCCCGCTATGATTTCCTTTTTAAGTTCCACAGTTACTCTCACTACTTTCCTCTTCGGATTGCTGCTATCACTGCTCACTTTCTTAGGGGCCATGATTACTGTATCACTAAATGTACTGTAGATAAAGCACAAAAAAATTCACACCAGACACAGCTTTCGCATGTTGAATTCGGTCATGAGGTATCACAAAACTGAGAGGGATTCATAGGCATAAGCAACCCAGGAGGTCCCTTTGCCCTTGTAGATGCGTCTCCATCCGATCACTTTAGCAGGTCTGTTTTGTTTTGTCGTGCTCCGAGTTTTCAGTTGAGTTGCGGCTAGATTTTTCTAGACTGAACCGTTCGAGCTCCGAAATGGTGGACCTGAACGTGTCTCGACCCATACAAGTTTTACCAGGAATGGATGAGTTCCAAGATTTTGTTTGTGGTACAAGTGGAAAGTAATTCAACAGATCCGCTCGACAGATTCAACAGAGGCGTTCGAGTTCCAAGGTACCACTGCAAATCAAAGCAAAGCCGTAACCTGTCCTAACACACCGTGGCATGAAGTTAGCTGAGACTCTCTTACGTGGACAGTCCTTAACACAGGTGGCCCCGAAGCTGTACTTCCTGTCCGGATTGACGACCAGCTGGTGAGTGTTAGGGTTATACAGCATGAGGGGGGGGCAAGTGTCCTTGCATGTACTGTCATCCTGGAAGTCTCGGCAAGCCTGAGGGCCACATCACAACAATTAAAAAAAAAAAAAAAAAACGTTGAAAAATAAAATAACTGTATATTGCTTACATAAGAACAGAAAAAATATACACACGAGAGGAGGCCATTCAGCCCATCAAGCTCGTTTGGGAACGAGCTTAACTCAACTAATAGCTCAGAGTTGTTAAAATCTTATCTAGCTCTGATTTAAAGGAACCCAAGGTTTTAGCTTGCGCTACACTGACTGGCAGACTTCATTATCGCCAACCCCAAGCTTTCATTCCCTAGACAGGGAAAGGGCTTTGAACTAAAACCCTGATGGTTTAAGGCACGGGTGTCAAACTCCAGTACTGGAGGGCCGGAGCCCTGCACATTTTTGGGTTTCCCCTCATTTAACACACCTGATTCAACTCCTTGTGCTAATTACCACACAGCTCTTGAGCTGAATCATTTGTTGTGGAATGGAAAGAACTAAGCTATACAGGACTCCCAGGACTAGAATTCGACACCCTTGGTTTAAGGACTGAATCACAAACTATACCCCCATAACCAAAGACTATGTATGATATGTACCCACTATTTATTGATTTAGTGGGTAATTTTATCAAAAGCGATCGTAGCGGGATTAGCCAGTCCCCGGAGCAGTTGGAGTTAAGGGTCGTGCTCAAGGGCTCAACTGTAAAATCAGTCTGCTGACCATGGGATTTGAACCAGCAACCTTCTTATTTCAGCATCCTAACCTGCTGAGCCCCACATAGCTCCCTGAGGTCAGTGTTTCTCAATCCAGTCCTCCCAGCTACCAACACACCTGTACCACGTATTCAGTGTTCTTGATTGTTTGGTTAATTCTTGATTGTTTGGTTTGTTCTTGATGATTTAACTCAGGAGTGCTGGGAGCTGGGAGGGAGCAAAAATGTAGACTGTCCAGCAGCCGCCTGATACTGGGTTGAAAACACTGCCCTATCTGATCGCTGGTGTTTAAAATATGACGTTCTCACCAGGCAGTCTGTCGGTCTGGGCCCAGTGCATCCTGCAGCACAGTGCTCGTTGCAGCAGTCGCTGGGCTTGGGACCCTTACACCTCCGGGAGCACTGTTCCGCGCAATTTAGCTTGGTGACTGCAAACACACATGCTTCCTGGATTACTGTCATCTACAGCCTTACCGTACTCATAATCCGCTCAGTAATTACACACTTTTATACTCATGTGGATTATTACCTTAAAAAAATCTATCATTTCACTAATTATAAACCCAGAGTCCTTTTAGCTACAAATGCTTTTTGTGATATTACACAATGGCTACTTTGTCATAAATGGGTTTATTGAAACAGGAGCCGGCAATGATTGATGTGAGAAGTGATGTGTAATTACAGGTTTGACAGTTTTCTGGGCCTGGTGCCCAGCACGATCCATTGAAGCAGCCAGGGTCACACTTTTCACCTGTCAAAAACACGGAAACATTGTAAAAGACATCAGCTACTACGATAAAACTACTTATTTGTAATATAATACGGAAAAACCTACCATTCAATAAACAACAGTAAAATAAGCTGAAAAATATGTCATAAAAGGTGCCATTCATCCATACCACTTTAACTGTTACTAAACTTCTGACTGACTTCTAAAACACTTTCAATTAATTCAGATATTTCGATTTCCCAGGACAGCCACTGCCATTGTGGTAATCATTAGGGTGGATCCTGTTTATGATACAGGAACTACATGAAGAAATGTCACAGACACCTTTCACTGAAAACAAAATAATAGTAGAACATGTCTTCATGTTCAAGTCACCATGCTCTAATATTCTGGTTTCATTTATTCATCTATTGTACCAGTTCCTCGACATATATCAAATGCTGCTGATACTCACAGTGTTGGCTATTATTCTCTAATATTAACTCCATGGCTGGATTGCTGTTCTTGTTCATGATGTCATACCACTGAATTGTCTCCACGTTACACAGCAAATGGTTGCGGGTCACTTTCACACCGCCTTTTAGAATCTCTGTGTGAAACAAATGAGTTTTAATGGGGCAGCGTGTGGCTCTGTGGGTTAGGACTTGGTGCCCCCAATTAGAGGGTCGTTGGTTCTAATCCCCTTGTAGGGTGAGTGATTTTACTATTGGGGCCCTTGAGCAAGACCCAAAACCCCAACTGCCCAAGAGAAACTGGCTCTTCCTCCTTTCTGATCTTCTAAGTAAATGCATGCTTTTCAGTGACATAGAGGTACTTGTGCCCATAAATTTGCAGAGATCTGGCTATTTAAGTGTCCTTGCCAAGGGGTTGTAAAGCATTTCCACATCTTAATTAAGAAGTGAAATACTTGATGGACCATATTGACATCGATATCGAAACTTTTCCATGTTTTGCATTATGCTAGATGTGTCATTTTTCCTGTGGCCAGTCTATGATAACATTGCCTTGGTATGTATTGTCTGTATGGTGGGAACTAAGAGCAAATACTAACCTGTGAGGCTCCTCAGTGACAACTCCCTCACTCCCTTGGTGAAATTTTGCGTCTTTGTGGTGAACTGCTTCTCGTAGTTGGACATGACGGCCAGGGCGAACATGTCTTCGTAGAGGGTGTGGCCTCTTATGATCCGCAGGTTGTCCAGGGGGATGTTAGCTGCCTTGTTGAGGGCAATTAGCACATAGCCACCCACCTCCTGGACTGTCTGTTGGGGGGGGGGGGGGATACTGCCTTGATTCTTCTCATTCTCTCTTGCATATGTTGAGATAAACTTTAGTGCGTTGCTACATAAATACATTAATACTTTGATGCGGCAGATATCACACTGATAAAACATGAAAAATAATAGGAAACCTCTGCTCTAAATATATGAAACATCAAAGGTCCAACGGCCAGACTCAATTGCAGTGTGTTTGGCCTCATAAAATTTTTCCTTTGGTAAGTAATCTTTAAAATAACTTTAATGCTTTAAATAACCTTAATCTGCACTTGCTTTAAAACATGTTGACTTTCAATAACATTGAAGCATTCTGACCTACTTAATAAAACATACCCACCATAATCAGACTGACCTGGATTAGGCTGCCATGCCAGGTACAGTTCACAGTGAGATATGGGGGGGTACACTTGCTTTGTACTAAGCCTACTAAGACACTTTGCATTTTAGCCAGCTGGGAACCTGAAATTCTTCTTAGCTTCACCCATTTATTTCCATCCATCCATCCATCCATCCATCCATTCTTCTATCTATCTATCTATCTATCTATCTAATCTGTCCGTCCATATTACTTTCTATATATTTATTTCATCCTTCATTCCACCCCATGCTGCCTCTGACTGTCGGTAAACATCCAATGTTAAACGTATGTGTCTTTTTTCATGTTTATGTGCTTGTAAATTGTCTTGAAATTGCATGTTATATGTTATACGAAGAAACACCCACCAAGGGTATGTTTAACATACTTACTCAATACAGATGTTTCAGATTCTGATATTGATTCTATCTACTATAGTATAAAATACCTTAAAATTTGCCTGGTCAAATGGAAAATGCATGCAGCCAGGTTTGATCCTACCTCACCTAAAGTAGCGGTGGCTCAGGATTAAAATACCATGGACTTCAGGTACCCAGAGTTACGAATTAATGTGACTCTTAATGTCTCTCCGGTGATTTCAGCTAGTTAGGGCACTGGAATAAATCACTGATTGGCTATGCCGAACCAAAAAAAAAAAAACAAAAAAACAGGCTAACGATCTCAACCAACAGAGTGTGTAAGGAGAGCTGGGGTTAAGGACATTTCAAAGCAGCCTGGAATGCAATCTGCCAGCTAATGAGGGAGGGAAGGTTCCAGAAGCAAGATGATAAATGGAGCGCAGGATGCTATGGGCACCTCTGACAGCTAACGGCATAGAGTACAAAACTGTGGGATATTATGTGAATGTACCAGAATGTGAAAGTGCTAATTTTACATATCAATCATTGCATTTTTTCCCCCCATTAACAAGGTATGCTAACAGTAATAGATCTTTCGGGTGTAAAATAATTTAACACCGGTGACACAAAGGAAAAAGGAAAAGAAGGACAGGTGGCCAAAAATATCTCCCTCTGGCACCTCTGAAGTAGCAACAGGATGACATGAGCAGCTATATAGGATTCAGCGCGTTAAAGGTACAGGCCATGAATGTAATCCTAAGTCTTTATTATAACCTGCTAATATCAGTGGTAGAAAATGATTGATGGAGGCGGATATTCTTTGATTTTCTTTTTCAGTTTTTTGTGAACCTGATTTGGGTTTTGTTGGGTTCCCTGGTTTATTCTATTCTGCCAAAATAACAGAAACAGCATCCCTTGTGTTTGCTTATGCTAAGTTTCAGCTGCACAGCCCTGAATAAACTTACTTTCCCACAATGATGAAAACTCGAGTAATGCAAACATGATATTTTTAAAACAAATTTCTGTATATTTCTGTATATAAACCAAATCCCCTTTATCCATCAAGCAAACAGCACAAAAGCTGTTTTGTTAGTTGGCATAGGATATATTACAGTGGAATCATGTAAAATTTATATTATTTTGACTGCACGTACCTGGAGAAAAGACAGATCATGGTAATCCTCAGTATAGGTGATCTCCAGGTTCTCCAGCACTACAGTGCAGTTGCTGTACATCCTCACAAGGTTCTTGTAGTGGTCATCTGGTGTCCCTAAGAGCGTCAGCTTGTTGTTGATTCCCTGGCAAACTGAATAAAACAAAACAGGGATGGAACAGGCTGGTGGTCTTTCTTCAGTGAATTTAAGGGCATTCTATACATTTACAATGATGTATTGATTTGCCAAACAAGGTGCGCTAGTGGTCGAGTAAATAAAAATACATTGGTTCCTGCTAATGCTGGGGAGACTTTATGAGAGGTTTTGAAATGGCTAACCTGACACACTGTGACATACATAATATCATAGTTTTACAGTAAGATCATTTGAACAACATGTTCTTTGAGTCCCTCAGACTCCCTCCCTTTTTCAAAGTATAAGGAAAGCTGGGCTCAGAGTTAAAAAATATTTCCCCATCCCTCCATCAATCCATCCATCCATCCCATTGTTCATTTATTCTATGTATATTGTATTCTCAGTACACTATTGGTAATAGTGCTCATGATTATATAAACAAGAAGATGATCAGTCAGTGAGCCTGCCTGGGTTCTGTGAAGATCCTTTTTGAGAATTTATTGCATCCCTCCATCCCTGCAGTTGTTGTCCCTGATTATGTGCGATGTCCCTTTCCAGTGTCTCCGTCTACACCTAGGGTGTCAAACCCAAATCCTGTCAGGCCATGTGTCTGGAAGTTCCCTTTCCAACCTATTAACCAGTACAATTAGTAGTTAATTATCTGTGGGTTTATGCTCTGTTTACACTGAGCCACTCTGGGCTGCTTCCCTCCCAGCCGAAATGCTGAAAAGTCACGACTGTTTTGCTCAGTAACTGACCAGAGGAAAAAGATTTTGTGTCTAATATAGAACATGGTGTGTGACAGAAGGGTGAGTCTTGTGTTCCAGAAGGAGTTGCTCCTGTCTGCATTCCTATAACCACTTGTTCAAAAGAGAAATGCTAAGTATCCCAAAAAAATTGGGATGATGACATCATGTGCTGTTTCAGGGTCTCCTGTCATGGAATATAACTGAAGATCAAATCTCAAAATCTCTGTCTCCATTTTTTGTTGTTTTTGAGCGGAGATCGCCAAAGACCTCAGGCTTCCTCATCACACGTTACAGTATTGCGAACCAAAACTCACTCAGTCCTCATGCAAAACAATGAAGAACTTTCATGAAATTTCTAAATCTCATTAAGTCCCCAGAAATTGCCGTGAAAAAGTATCCCTTGGTTTGAGTGAGTTTGGGAAAAACATCATACAAGCATGACATTTGTGATCTATACCGTCCTCTGACAGAATAAATAAATAATCTCAAATCTCGAACGGACATACAGCGTCCTCTAAGACACCAAATGCGGTCGCTGGTTCATATCCCAGGATTGGCAGAAGGATTTCGCCAATGAGCCCTTGAGTTAAGCCCTTAACCCCCAAAAGCTCCAGGTTCTGTCTGACCCTGTTTTTTCAACACAAAAAAGTCACTTTAGATAAAAGTGTCTGCTAAATAAGGAAAAAAGTAAAATGTAAAATACTTTTACTAGTGCTGCTAGCGACCTTGGTAAGCTTACCTGCGTCCTTGAAGTGTGAAAGTTACTATGGCTAATCGCAAATCTTCAGGGGAGAATCTTACAGAAACATGATAGTAATCACTGTTATGGGCGCAGTGGCTTGTTTGCAGTAATGAACCCAAAAGTAGCACAGAGCCATAAATATGCACAAAACCCATGACTAAGTGCACATGGATTCAATAAAAGTATAATAGAAAAAAATTATTTAAAAACTGCTGAAATAATCAGAGAGGGAAATGTTGTGTCAGGTGAACTCAAAAGCACTTTCCCTGCGTGTGAAACAGCCCTGAGATTCTGCTCCATGCCAATCCGGCAGGGAGTCCAGCCTCTCGCCAGGGGCGACCGCATAATTTTAAAATACAGGCCAGCAAGTTTGCTCAGTTTTAAAGCTTTGGAGTGGCTGAGCACCAGCAAGTCTCACGCATGCCAGAACAAAGCATTCAAAGCAAGTCCCGAGCCAAGTAATACAGCGAATTTAATAACAGCCCGAAATATTCAAACAGTACTACGTTCATCATAATAAATAGGAGGACACTTTTAAGAGATTTTAAACTGGGGAGAATCATTGATTACTACACGTAATGTATTATAAGATGGTTTCCAGACATGTTCCAGATGTGTTACATGACAGCCAGTCTGTTACAGCATCCATATCACACATCTGTTGATTCACCTTCAACAGTAATATACTGTTACTGCATTCCTCTCCAGGTAGCTGACAAATCACTTTCCCCTCGTTTAACACAGCCATACTTCACTTCCTCTCCGTTATCATGAGGCGCCCATTAAGGCTGAGTACGATATAAATTTCATCCGGTGTGGCACCTTAAATACCTCCTCATTTACTCTATGATGGATGCAGACCATGCAGAGGGAACGGATGCCACAAAATCCCTGTTTGCAACCTGAGAAGGACATTGTTACTGAGACAAGCAGGCCAGGATAATCACTAGAGTTCTGACTGTAGGATCACGTGTCGACACGCTGACAGCCGTTACAGCTACGTCTGTCGGTTCTGCTGTATGATCAGCAAAGGTCAAACTGTCCCAAATAAAAAGGTACACAATGCACTAGTGTGGAGCTGCCAGTCTGCCCCTGAATCGCGCCATATGGAAGGCTGGGCCACACAGTCATTAAAAAGGGATTCCACTCCATCTGCCTGTCAAAGACCACCGCACCCCTGTAGCCAAAACACACCCCTGCGGCACCTCGCAGGCCCTCGGAGCTTGGCACGGGCCCTCGGAGCAGGCACGGGCACCAGGGCCGCGCACTGGGAGTTGGCATCGCTCGCTCGCCACACTCTGCTTGTTTGTCTCGCAGGCTTCCCAGCCCGGCCCGCTGGGCCCGTCTGCGGACCCGCTACGCTCCGCTCTGCCGTGAACGGTGTGTCCCGGTGGGCCGCCGCGGTTCTGTCTGGATCTGCGTCTGCTTGGGATGCAACCGCCACACGGGAAAATGTTTAAATACATCTCGGCGCTATAAATACAGCCGTCAATGGGAAGGGGGGACCTAAGGCTAGTTTAGGCGTCCAAATCAGTGCCCATTCAAAAAGAGTTTAGGTGTGTTCTGCGTTTGACTATCAGATCCTGATATGAGGAAGGTGCCTGAGTCTGTGAATGGCGTGGCTAACTGTGGCACCTTCCAGTAACAAGTGCACAAATTCTTGGCATGGTGACCTGAGTGTGCATGGCGTTTATAGGCCTGCTAACGCCTTGCAGCGTGTGGTAATGCATACATAATGAAACGCCCCATAGACACTAAGGCATCATTCATTGCTTAACTGGCATACAGGGAATTAGTACATTTACTACCAGATGAAGTAATTCAACTAACACTATTAAAATTAGGGTACCACTTGTGCAGTAAAAAAAAATGTTAATGGATTTAGTGTAAAACTACGATATGTCTGTTAAAATTTTATTGAGTTGTAATGCACTTTACACTGCACATTCCCTATCGTTATTCACATGCATACTTTATATTTTTGTGTATAGCTTATGCATGTATTTTTTTACATTGCTTGCTAACTTTCTTCTTGCGTTTCTTTTACTTCTGTATTTGCATCAGTGGTGGATATGAGTGTTTTGGAACCTCATCTACTCTACAGCATGAATTTCATTGTGTAAATGCTGTACATATGACAATAAATTGCTTGAATCTTGAATCAATTTACCATTATTCATAACTCATAAGTTGGAAGGTTATGTCTTAAAATGGAGACTGACGAGTATTAGTTAAAACCACACAAACTTTAAGGGATGGGAATAGCTTGAAATAACAAAACAAACAAACAAGCAAACAAACCAAAAGAAAAATAATTTAAGCAATTAATTCCTGAAAATGAAAGATTTTCTCATGGTTTGGAATTTCTAACATCAAAACCCAGTTTTATAATGTCTGGAATATTAAATCAAAAGTAAATAAATAGATAATATTCAGAGTAAAATGTGTTTATGCCCACAAATACACAGAATCAGCCTTGTATACTTTTCCAAAATAAGCCTGGAGGCTAACATGATCTCCGATTTCAACCAAATCCAACTGCACCATTTCATCCATTTACCACAGGGAAGAGAGGTAAGTAGCCAAAAAAAGCTTTTGTTCATGATGCTGCTCACTGATATAGAGAAAGATGCTGTGCATGAGTGAGTACACATTTCAGAAAGGCGCTTTTAAACCCTAAGTCTGCACTCTGTGCTTGTGAGTGAACTGTAAACACGGACTTGGAGTTGGCTGGATGGATGCATGGCGTCCGTCTGTTAAAGCAGGTCGTTGATCCTCCCCATCTGGACACGATAAAAGGGGAAATCAGTGGGTAATGTAGGGTAGGGCTAAGATGCCGTGAGTAGCTTTCGGGGCCATAGATATTTATTAATTATAAATATGGGTCTTTACGCATGTTATAAGTGCTTCAGTGCAAATGTATAGATGAAGAGGGACATCTCAAAACTGTTTACATTTGAAATACACTTAGGTAGTTACTTAATTTGAGTACTCATAAATCAAGTACTCATAAATCCCAATAGCCTAAGCAGGGTCTATGAGATTCGGTGCACATCCCAGATGCATAAAACACAAGGAAACACCACGAATGGGATACCAGGTTACCACAAAAGCCACATGCATTCAAAAGAGCAATTCAAAGTAACAACCTTTCAGCAGAATGTTTGGATAGTGGGAGGATTCCCACGGAAACCAATCCAGGCAAGAGAAGCTGCAAAGTCTGCATGAAGAGAGCTAAAGTCACAGCTGAAGCCACAACCCAGGAGGAATGAGACAACACTGCAGCTTCATGAACTTCAGAGTGCCTGATTCAGGGTAATGCACCGATGCGTCAACTATCATAACTCATAACGCCCATCAGCGCTTACATTCTGCACTATCATTAGCCCAATAGCAATAAGAACAACAGAAGTTGTGGCAGGAAATGATCTTGATGTTTCGACTCATGGTTCATGTACTCTCTGTGAGGGGAGCACCACCATACCATCAAAATATTCCAGTTCTCACTCCGTGCCTAACGTAATAT